AAATGATTGGATGATGCATGTTCAATTTGTCGTGCTCGAAAACCCGTTGCCATGCCAACTGTTGCCGCTGTTTGCACTGTTCTGCACCTCTGAGAATTGTGAAAATCCTAAGGTTGCTTCTGAACCATTCCCTGAGCATTTCGGGATGCCACCGGCCATGGAGATTTGGTCACCGACCAGAAGTTGGGCCATTGGCTAGACTTTTGTGGTCGGCCAGCACTGAGTGTAGTCGACCGGCCATTTCTTCCTGCAGAACATTGGTTTTTGTTGCAGCAGAGGACAGACAGTGCATGGCAAGGCATTTACAAGACAATGTGTGCATAGCCACTCCCCCTATCATGCTGTGAACTCAAGGGGATATGGATTTTGACCCTCGGGCCACCAATCACACATTTCAATGCATGATGGCCAAAGGTGCCAAGTTTGCAAATCAATGTAAAAATGAATGCAACAAAACAAATGAATGCTAGACACCCTATCATGTTGAGATCAAGAGCGTTGGCGACTGAGGATTGAGGTACTTTTCGCCGATAAGGCCCTCAATTAAATTTCCAAAGCTGATTATTCAAACAGATATTCCTACGGTGAACAGATGGAACTTCAAATCACATATTTTTACATAGTGGAACACAAATCATATCAAAATACATAATCACATCATGTTAAGGACCAATTAACATATTACGGAACAGGGGTATTACAGGCACTGAGTGTAGTCGACCGGCCATTTCTTCCTGCAGAACATTGGTTTTTGTTGCAGCAGAGGACAGACAGTGCATGGCAAGGCATTTACAAGACAATGTGTGCATAGCCACTCCCCCTATCATGCTGTGAACTCAAGGGGATATGGATTTTGACCCTCGGGCCACCAATCACACATTTCAATGCATGATGGCCAAAGGTGCCAAGTTTGAAATCAATGTAAAAATGAATGCAACAAAACAAATGAATGCTAGACACCCTATCATGTTGAGATCAAGAGCGGAGCGTCGGTGACTGAGGATCGAGGTACGTTTCGTCACTTCAAGTACGAACGTCCCTCATTCCTCATGTTTAGTTTGACACCCGAAACCAAACATAATGCAATGTATGTATGCCATATACAATGCAAGGCATGTAACTAATGGAATGCAATATGAGCATGTTAACTCAAAGTAACCCAATGCTACCTAAGCACGCAAGCTAATGCCAATGTAACATGAATATGCCAAGTATATAACAAGGTTATGTAATGCAACTAGCTAATCATCATGTAATACACTAAGTATATAAACATGATGGAATGCGAACATGCAAGTAATGTAATAAGATGCAACATGCCAAATATGTGACTATATGTAAAGGTGGGTTTAAACCGAAATGGGAGACCTCGGCCATACCCAAAAACAGTGGCCAAAAGTGATGGATGAAGGCACCAAAATGCAAAGCAAACATGCATGCTAACTAGCCTATCACTTAAGCATGGAAAGGGGAACTTTTAAACACATTTAAAAGAGACTAATGTAGACAAATGACATGCATGCTAAGCTCTGAAAATGTGTAAAGGACGATGCCAAATCAACCAAGCCATGTTAGTAAGGCATGCACTGAAGGCCAAAACTTGAGGCTAACAAAGGGGGGAGGGAAGCTATGGTCATACCAACCAAGCCTCAAAAAACCAAAATGATTTAAATCAGTCCTAGGGCAAACCAAAATAAGGCTAGGACATGCATGGAATATGGCCAAAACATGCTAAGAAATAGGCACCAAAACAAGGGCATTCAAGACTACAAAGAGAGTATTCCACTATAACTACCTCAACCAAACATGGCATGGGTTAGGCAATGAAAAACAGAGCTAAAACATGCCAAAATGAGTCCCAAAACCCACTGATATGGCAGCCTAAAGACTTAAACAAAGAGGCATGCACAATGACCCCTTTTCAAAGCATAAAACAACTCTTCAAAGCATTGAAAGGATGGTAAATGCAAGCATACAAGCATGGAACATGGACTGAAATAGCATGATAAGTGATTCCAAAACACTGAAATAGCCCAAATAAAGCATGCTCATGACTCACACACCCAAAGCTAACAAGCTAAAATGCATGGTGGCTATACAAAGCATGGAAAACATGACCAAATCAACAACAAAAAAAGCTTAAACATGTCACAACATGGCTAAAAGCTTCATGAAGCCAAGCTAAAACATGCAAGCATGATGGTCTAAATGCATGCTACATGTTATGACAATAGAGGGGATTACAAAGCAAGTGCATGATGCATGCAATAGGCTATCAATCCGACCAAAAACATAGGTATAACATGATAAACTAACACCAAATACCCACTGAAATGAAGCCAAATGAAGCTAAGCAATCATGCTACCTTTATGAGCCCTAAATGCAAGCAAATGAGGCACAAAGGGAGAGGGGTGTCCTGCCCCTATACATGACTTCAAAACCACTTCTCCACCACTAAAAATCCTCTGGATTTTAGTGGTGAGAAGGTCGAAATAAAGGGGTTCCAAAGCCCTAAGAGAAAGGCACAAAAAGAGGCCAAACAAGGCCTAAGAGGGTGTAAACAACCCCCAACCCAAAAGCAACCTTAAACAAACATCTTAAGCATAAAAATACAGAACTTTTATCAGTTATACACTAAGCTCGAAACAATATGTAAACAGGTCTAAAACCTTAAGTAAAAATAGGAAATAAAAGAGGTGGTTCTCACCCTTGAAGAACACTTCAAGAACACCAACTCTAGCACCTCCTTTTGATCAAAACCAACTTAAAAACTCTGAAATCAAACCCTTAGAACCTCAGCAACCAAAGTATAGTGTAATACTAGGTGTCTTAGTGCAAAACTAAGAACAAAAACACCTTTAGAACACTCTTACGCACACAACTATGTAGAGAGAGGGAGATATAAAGAGATATAGATATATATCTTGTATATCAGATGCTTCAACCTCTGGAAAGGGAGTGGAGGCCCTCCTTTTATAGAGAGATCAATTTGCCAAGCTTCCAAGAGAAGCTAAACAAGGGGGAAATCCCTCCATACACGTGTATGGAGGGTAGAGTCTGTGCTCACCAGCTGGCACAGCTGGCATGCACAATGCCTGAAAAAGGTAAATAAAAGGGGTCGGCCAGAAAAGGGGTCGATCGACCAAAACAAAAGCCGATCGACCACCAAATTTTGCCAGTCGGCCAAACATTTGGCCGATAACAATAAAACATGGCCAGTGGCATCATGCCATAGCCATTTGGTTTCAGGGATGGCTAACAAGCCACTTTCCACACTCAGAAGCACAAAACACAAGCCCCTGGTGTACAACCAAAGACAAAACAGTCAGGTTGAGAGATCTCGAGGCGAGGCGCGCGGCCGAGACCGCCGAGAACTCAAAACGAACACGAACATGAATGATCACCGAGTGTTCAAACGGTGGCGTCCAAGTCTTGAGGACAGTCAGAAATAGGGTGCCTACATGAGCCAAAACTCGCACTTCTCAAACTTGGCATACAACTGATGCTCCCTAAGCAAGTCAAGAACTATCCTCAAATGAGCCTCGTGTTCCTTCTCGGAGGTTGAATAAATTAGAATGTTGTCAATGAAAACGACTACAAAACGATCGAAATATTCCCTAAAAATTCAGTTCATTAAGTCCATGAAAGAAGCCGATGTGTTAGTCAGCCCAAATGGCATTACAAGGAACTCGTAGTGGCCATCACGCGTACGAAAGGCCGTTTTCTGGATGTCCTCCTCCCGGACTCTCAACTGGTGGTACCCCGACCTCAAATCTATCTTCGAAAAGCAACAAGACCCCCTAAGTTGATCAAATAAGTCATCTATTCTGGGTAAAGGGTATTTGTTCTTGACAGTAACTCAGTTCAACTTGCAGTAATCAATACACAATTGCAACGACCCATTCTTCTTCTTCGCAAAGAGGGTCGGCGATCCCCAAGGTGACGTACTAGGGCGAATGAAGCCCTTGTATAAAAACTCTTGGAGTTGAATCTTCAACTCATGCAACTCCGCGGGTGCAAATCTATACGGCGCCATGGAAATTGGTGCCATCCCAAGCACTAAGTTGATGGTGAACTCAATCTCCCGATGGGGTGGCAAACTAGTAAGGTCCCCGGGAAACACGTCTGAATACTCACACACTACTCTTGGCAACTCAACTCGAGTCCTGCCACTCTCAATGTTCAAAAGAATAGCTAGAAGACCACTAAGCTCATCCCTACTACGAGGATCACATACTGGCGATAAGAACCGATCAACCCTGTCTCCCAGAAAATAAAAACAATCTCCACCCGATGTGCACACTGTGACCCTCCGCCGGAAACAATCAATCACTGCCCGATATGAAGACAACCAATCCATGCCTACAATGACATCAAAACTGGACATGTCCAACAACACAAAAGCAAATGGGAGTCTACGCCTGGCAACCTCTATCTCACAATCACGACATCCCGGATCTAAGTGAACTGTACCCCCGATTGGTGACTTTACTTTGAGTGGAGACGCTAACTGTACCACCTCTAGCCCCAATGCAGATACGAATGCAGCAGACATGAAAGAATGAGACGCACCCGTATCAACCAACACACTGGCCAAAGAATTACACATAATAAAAATACCTCTCACTACCAAGGATCCTGGAAACTGCTCTGGCGTGGTAACTGCGTACACGCGCCCCTGTGGCCTCTGCACTACCTGCTCGTCTCTCGGAGCATAGGCCTGCTGTACTGACTAAGCCGAAGTGGCTCCTTGGTGAACTCATGAAGCCTGAGCTGGGTGGGCCTGCTGGTGGCTCTGTGTCTGCCTAGACCCTGAAGCGCCAGACGCGCCTCCCAACTGAGGGCAAGCTCTCTTCATATGCCCTGGCTGCCTGCACTGAAAGTAAGTGGGCCACTGACCCCTACTCTGAGACTGACTCTGAGATCAGTTAGGCGGTGGTAATGGCAACATCTGTTGTCCTCCTTCTTTCTGTGGACAAGCAAAGGCCTTGTGACCTGGCTAGCCACACTTGAAGCATGAAAACCCACCCAGTGCAATCTTTCCCGGGCCCACACTAGGCAAGGGGTAAGTAGATCTAGCCTGTTGCGACTGAGACTGAGATGAAAAGGTGCTCTTACTCTTCTTGTTGGGCCAAAAGTCCCCCTGTGACCCTTGGCCCCTAGACCTCAAATTCTGAAGTCTCTCCTCCTCAGCCTCCACAATAATCTCCACATGTGCAGCCACCTCCACAAGGCGATCATACTCTCGGATCATATTCCCAGCAACCTTGAACAAGATCTTTGTCCTCAACCTCTGCTCAAACTCATTCTTCCGTCGCTACCAACTCCGATGCAAATCGGAACAAACTAGAAAAGGCCGCTTAAAATTCGACCACAGACATGTTTAGCAGCTTAAGGTCCTCGAACTCCTGTCTCAACCTCTCTCTAGCCGTGGGAGGAAGGTACTTGTCTTGGAAAGCCACTACAAAAGCCTCCCATGTCGGTGCTATCCGGCCCTTGGCATACTTCCACCATTGGCCCGCATCACCCTTCAGATGGTAACTTGCAAGGGTCATCCTCAACTCGCTATCCTCTATATGGAGCATCTCAAAAGTCTTTACCGTTTGTTCTAACCATTCATCTGCCTTCTTCGAATCGGGGCCGCCATGGAATTCATCCGGCTTGGCCCTTAAAAACTCCCTCGTGAGGAAGCTAGCTCTAATCTCTGCAACGGTCTCCCTTACTTGGGTTTCCGCCCTCAAAATGTTCATAGACTCCCTCAATGCCCCAGCCATCTCCCGGGCTAGAGCCCCCATTGCGGCTTGGCCGGCTTGCCCCGGCACCTCCGCTTGCCCCACTTGTTCGGACATGTTAGCTTGGCCTACGACTTCTTCTTGCACCGGTGCCTCATGGACCGGTACTCCATGTGCACCCTGGAATCCCCTACCATGCCTTCCACCCTTACCACCTCATGTTCGGATCCTTTTAGACATCCTAATTGAGAAACAAAATAAACAAACTTAGCACATAATTCCAAATGTGCTCACAACTTGCCTCACACGTTAAACTAAAACAACTACACATATCCTACCACATAAGCAATTTAATTCACTCCACATAAGCACGTAGTCACATAAACACATACAAATTATCCTTTAGTGATGAGATCCGTCCCATGAGAAACCAAGAATTCTTAGTAGAATGAGTATTGATCAGGTACCCTTCTATTAAGATCTCAAGGAATCTAATAGGCGCAGATAACATCCCAAAAGTCTAATCCCATACCCACATAGTCACATAAACATGTTGTCACATAATCATAAAAGCAAAACATTTCCTAGTCATGCAAAATGAACCCAATGCGGTATAACAACCACTTCCCGCGAGCCCCAAGTATTCAAACCCGGTAGCTCTGATACCAAGTTGTCTCGCCCCGAAAATAATTCAACATGAAACCCCAAACGAACAACATTCTCTATGCATGGACAATAACTCTTCCATATTCATTCATATAATATTTGGATTTAATACAACAATTCCACATGCAGTATACATTCACTAAACAGAAGGATATATGAATCTATAGCATGTGAAGCACCTATCATCAAAATAATAAAGTGCCCTTGCAGGCTTACATCTTCCAAGGCAATAGCCCGGTTACACAAAAAGGGTCTTCGAACCCATACATGTTAGCCCTTGGCTTTACAAAAGAATTCACAACAAAAGAAGAGCCATGTGCTCTTTACAATTATTCACGCCCTCAATGGCGGGATCACCACATCTTTACCTGCACCAAAACCCATAGGGGTGAGCATAAAGCCCAGTAGAGAAATACCAAACAAAGTATATATGTTTAAGTTAGATGTCCAAAATTGAATGCAAGTGCAAATGCGATGCAATACTTTTTCAAAATATTACTCACGTCTTTCTTGAGAAACACCATGCATTTCATTTATAATTACAATCTCATAAATTTCCAAGTTTAAACTTTTAATCATAAGGGGCGGTAAATACAACACTGGTAATCCCTAGGCTGGTGTCTGCAAGTAGACTCTACGAGTACTATCAAACTATCATTTTTACCGGTAAATACAACACTCTAGTCTTTCGCCATGGACACTCAGGCCAACTTATCAAATTCAAGTACACCCCCTAACCAAACTTACCACTGTATTTACCCCATACACAGTTCCTAGTTCTCATTACAGCATAATCTTTTCCAAAGAAAAAGTTTTTCAATTCATTTCAAGATGAGCATTGGAGAAAAATTAAATGGGAATATGATGCAATGCATAATAGCTCATAACATTCTTCTATTTGAAATATCTCTACACCAACATCAATTCACTACATTATCCATTTCTTCTTCTCAATGATACTCCACAATTTACCATGCCATCAAATCATAGCACTAACAACATCTTTCATGCTCAATTCACAACAATTGGCCCTCTTCAAGATTACATAAGATGCCTTTCCAATTATCAATTCTAATGTTTACAATTTTCTCTCACCAAGATGCACAACCATTTGTTATTTTACAACAATACACTTCAAATATTCAACAATAATGTTAGGATAATAGCTCTTTTCTCATACATTAGGTAAATTATCACTATGCTACACAATGAGATGAGAGTGTCACTCTCTAGTCTTTGTTGAAACCACAAGATATCTCTAAACATGATTTCACCTTTCAAATTTCAAAACAAAATATATATGTTCTACGGCTTTTTGACAAGAATCAAAATTAACATCTTTCCCTTCTTTTGAATGGAGTTTTTCTTTCAAAATGCCACACTTACCATACATGAGTTAAAATCTTTAAGGGGATAGTTGAGAAAGAAAGAGAGAGATCAAAAACCCATTTTGAAACCCTAACATTTATGAGACAAGATTAAAACTTCAAAATCATTAATGAATCCTTCAAAACCAACCAAATCTACCATAAACACATATATAACTCAAGGAAATTTCCCTACCTCAAGATCTTGATGGAGAGATGGAGATGATGAGAGGGAAGAACCCTAGAAATCAAAGTTGTCAAAGCTCAATCCCCACCACACAATATTGTTCTTGCTTACTCATCAAAATAGAGAAAGATGATGTTGAATCTAGACTCTAAGATTTGCAAGAATGAAAGAGTTTTAGTGTTTTGATGATGTTTTCTAGAGAGAAGGAGGGGAGAAATGAGGTTTAGAGTGAGAGAAAGAGGCCCAAAATGACATATAGGTTCGGCCAAAAGACAAAAAAAAAAAAACAGAGTTTTCGGATCTGCCCCGCCCCGCACATGCGGCTACCCTCTCCTGCACGTGCGGCACTGATCCCCGCAAGTGCGGCTGGTCCAGCACTTGCCCTCCGCACCTGCTTTTTAAGTAGAATGCAACACACATTGCCTCCCCTTTCCCCCCGCGTGCAGCTTGGCCTCCCGCATGTGCAGCCCTGGCCCCCGTACGTGCGGCACGTGCCCAGCAACCCAGAATCTCCTGATTCAACTCCCAGACACTCCAGACTAGTCCTCGCGCTCTCCGGAACAAGCGAGGTCTAAAACCAAAACGCAACAAGAGTAAGGATTTTATTTTAAGAACTAAATTTCGGGTATTTCAAGCTCAACGAGAATAAAAGAAAGTAGAGCGAAGAAGGAAAGAGAGGAGAAGAAAGGGAGGAAAAAGGTGACCCGGTCGTCACAACCCATTCTTTTCAAATAATTGCCATATGCATCTTCCCTCCGTACCAAAGTACACATCGAATTGTAATTTCATAAATTCATCACAATTCACGCATACTATCACCCACTCAACACATTTCTCAACACATTCCACCTTTTGCCGATTTGATAGGGCGGGATAGTAGGCACCCAATTCTTAACACCTTCCTTTTTTTGCCGGCTATTATACAGTGGGAAGTGAACTCCCAAAAACCATTTTCAACTTTAAATAAAACATCTATTTTTCCACTTTTGCCAGCTATTTTACGGTGGGACTGTGTGGACACCCAAAAATATTTTTCCCACATTCATCCGGTGATAAGCCTAGACAGGGCATTTGGGCACCTTTAATTCAAAACTACCCCCACATTTGCCGGCTATTATATGGTGGGACGTGGGCCCCCCAAAACCTTTTTCAACTTCCCGCACGGGTACCAACGCAACACCACCCAACATAACTCAACCCAAACTCAACACAACTCAACATGATTCAACACAACTCAACATGATTCAACACAATTCAATATAGTTCAACACAATTCAATATAATTCAACACAATTCAATTAAACACCACTAAATGCAATCCAACATAATTCAAGATGAACTCTTAAACCTCACCTTCAACATTTCATCACAAAATCCATAACATTAACAATTTCTTGCCCCAAAACTTTGTTTCATATTATCACATAATTTAAAATATCAACAATAAGGGTTCAATCGCAACTTTTACATGAATTTCCAAACACTTCCAAAATTCAATTAAACTTGCATATGTGCAATTTAATACCTCAATTTCATGATTCTACTTTCATTTTAGGCAAAACCATTAATTGTCTTCATGTGCCAAGCTAGGGTTTTAAGAGAAATTAAAGCTCTTCACCCAAACACTTTTTATTCCAATTCTTCTATTAATTTAACTCGAATTTCATAAGCCCATAATCATAACCCAAAATTTAAACCCCAACATTTCAAACCCTAAACCCCCAATCTCATGATTTATCATAATATTCTCAAAATTACAAATTTTGTATTTATATAAGAAAATACCACAAATCTATCTATAAATGGGAGTATTGAAGAAGAACTAGAACCCCTACCTCAAGGATCAAGCAAGAAAGTAAGGCTCCAAGAAGAATCCTTCGCAAATCCAAAATCCAATCAGTTGAAAATGTTGAGCTTCATGTATTCTTCACTTTTTGGTAAGAGATCTTGGCCAAATCTTTGAGAAATGGAAGCTATTTGGGTCAAGAAATCAAGGGTTTTCGGACCTAGGGTGAGAGGAAGGAAGAAGGAAAAGGAAAGTGCAAAGAATGATCTAAAAAATTACTTTTTAAGCTGCTGAATTCGCGCAGTTCGCTTGAGCTCCACTTTCTGCACTCGAGCGTACTTGCTTCCAACATAGATACCAAAACTTCAAACGGCCATAACTCTCTCACCCGGACTTCGTTTTAGGTCGTTCTTGTGTCCAAATCGAAGCCCCGGAAACAAGCTTTCCAATGGTTCTAGCCTCATACCCAAATTCAAAGTGTGGAAAAACAAAAGGGAAAAAAGAGTGACAGTTGTTCGTAGGAAAATTATCTGAATTAAAGTTTTTGGTTCAATCTTACTTTACCATCATGTTACCACTTCAACCAATGTCCCAAAATAAAACAAGGGGGCTCCAAACAAAATAATAAAAATGTCAAGAGCAATCCCAGTAGTCTCAAAAATTCAGACTCAACCAGGTAGACCACTTGAGCGTCCAATTTTGCGCTCGAGCGAACAGACTAACAAAGCTGACCGCTAGAGCGACCACTCATGCGCTCTAGCGGAAATTCACAACTCTTAGAATCTCAGACAGACTGCAAAAGTACTGGAAGCTTCACAGGTCTGCTCGAGCGTCAACTCTTACGCTCGAGTGGATGGAAAATTTTTGCAGTGTTACACTATCTATCTAGATAGGTTTGGAATATATGTGAGGCTTTTCGATCAATCTCTTATCTTTTGACATTGGGCTAGTCAACTTCATCAACTGCTTCAATTTTTTTGATCAGTAAAACAAAAGCTTTATTGATGAAAAAGCACAATACATGCAAAATTACATCAACAAAGAAGGGAAATGCAAA